AATTAAAAAATTGTTTTGGAATGGAAGAATGGGGCCGGAGTGTAAAACGTGTGGGCATCATTCATCGTTATCGTTATCGAATTATGCGGCAATTACTTGCGGGAATCATGGGAACCCAGCACCATTCCCCCGACTGTCTGCTTAGCATTTGTCAATCATTAATCACACAATTTATGTTAATTGAATTGACGTCGATTTATGGCAATTTTTCAATCAGATTTCCGTTTTTGCTTCTTTTTTTTTGTGTTTTCCGTGTCCTGTCCTTTGCTCGAACTGTCAGTTTCATATTGATTTTGCATAAAAAATCAAAATCACCACCCTATCCTCCCACGGCAATGACGATGACGATGATGATGATGATGACGATGACGATGTGACAATAAAATGTCCGCAGTGCCCATCGTTGGCGTTGGTCATGGCCATAAAATGTATCCATGGATGCATGAGCATAAGCGCTTTAACTGCAGTTTTCCACTGCTTTTATGGACAGTGCGTTGCATAAGTATAATGCAGTTCATGATTTGAATTGTGCGGATTTAAAACCGATTAACTAAATCCCTAAAATAGCAGGGATTTCGTGTCAGCTTATTTCAATCTGATTAAGGAGCGGAGGTTATTTCAGAAATACTTTTTTCCTCTTAAAAAAGGAATTTATTAAAATCACAATTCTCAAACACTAGGCTATATACATTGAACACACATTAGCGACATTTTCAAATCTATAAACTATTTTATTCAGTTAAATTTTGTAGCTTTATGAAGAATGCAGTTACCTTTGTCTTCTGATTGTCACACGCACTGTATATTATAGCCAAAATCAGATCAAACAATTGACCCAGTTAGCCACGCACACCAGCAAACACATTTTGCATTTCCGATGGATGGTCGAAATTTAAGTTTACCCAATCGTAACGAAAGCCTAGCACAAGGGAACCTCCTCCGCAGCCAAAGCGCCCATCGCCCATCGCCCATCGCCCATATTTGTTTAGCTTGATTACAGACCAAATGTGATTTAAGGCACGTTAAATACACACAGACACGATTCCACCCACGCTTATACATATATATGTACCTATATATATGCAGGAAAATGGAGAATGGGGGTTCCTCCGGTCCACAATCAAAGCTCAGAGACAACAACAATTTAGAGCCAAACAGACGGACGGCCTGTAAGTGAAGTCGTGTCCTGTGGTCAGCTGCAGTTCCACATTGCTTCTCATCCTCGTCCTCGTCCACGTCCACGTCCATCTCCGATGAAGCCATAAAATATGCAGGCACACGCCCCTCACATTCGCCGACGGCCCACTTGTTTCCACTTGCCAACAACAAGGCGACATGTGGCAGGGAAAATTCACATTTGTTTTTTAATTTTTCCAATAACAGAATGTTTTATAGAAATTGGTTACAAAATATTTTCTACATTTAAAAAATATATTAAAATATTTTTATAAATTTATAATATGTAATTCTATATCAACTTAGAAGAAATGATTAATATATATAACATACGATTTTATTTTAAAAATTTATTGAAAGTTCATTGAAGTTTATAAAAAGAAACAGAGAAACGAACTGAAAACTTAAGCTGAGGAACTTTGGGTTGTCAGAAATGAATACTAGGCTTCATCAGTGAGGAATCTTTAGAAAAGAATCTGCAGATCGACACTAGGTTCATCTAGGTAGAGGCAGTTGGATGTTGCAGGACCTGCGGAGATGCACTATTTCTGGAATGCCATCCAGAGTGAAGACCACTCAAGGTAGTTTCTGGTGTAGTTGAAGGTGGCGATAGTGATGGTGATTCCTCTGGTTTTGGGTCTGTGCCGCTCCCTAGGTTGCCGCTGAAACCACAACCAAAACAAACCTGAGCCACACATGAGGTTGCAAGGATTGTCAGTCCTGGTCCTTGCTATTCAGCTGCACTGGGAGAAACAAGGAGAAGATAATAAGGTAACGTAATAAGAAGATTGAAAGAACACGAATTTTGTTCTATAGGTACGTATAAAGTTTTGCTCAGTGTTGCAATCTCCAGTTGACTTCATTGAGGTTGAGGGGCAGGTGATGTTGAAGCCACCTACCGGTTAACTCGTTGTTCAGCTGGCCTCACCTTGCTGAAATTGTCCGTACGTATAGTTTGTGGTCTCGTTTTGTAATTAAGTCGAAGTTGCCTCTTTTAATGCATACTTTTAGCTTAGGTTTTCCGGCCTGGCTAAATGACAAATCGTTGCGGGCGAAAAACTTTGGGGGCTGCGTGTGTTGGGGGATTCATAAAAAAAGATGGCCAAATCCTTTGATTTGTGTGCGTGCCGATGCCAAATTGCTTAATCTCCCTTCGCACGAACACTTGACCCAATTTTTAATCACTTTCCAAGCACACATGCTCTTTTTTGTTCGTCCCGGCATAAATTTGTGTCTTAAAACTTTCCACCTGACCAAGGCAAAAGTTTCCATTGCACGTTTTAAGCTGCCCCAGCAGAGCCACCATCCGAAACAAGCTTAAAAATTGTGAGTAAAGCCAAACCGACATAACTACCACTAACTCCCAACTCTTAATTCGAGATGTTATATTTTAAGGGAAAATAATCACTTGAAATCTGTTTGTCAAATAATTTCTTTAAAATAAATAAAAAAAAAGTAAGATATTGTTATAGAATATACAGGGTAGAATAATATCAAAACAGTTTTAGTATTTATTTTTCTTATTGAATGCATTTTTTATATGATCTTTATTTTTATTTAAATTTTTGTCAGACGACCATCTCTAGTTCCATTTTGCATCTGTGCAATATTTGAGGTAATTTCTGTGTTACAAAATATTCTAAAAACACATTTGCCCAGGACGAAACAAGGAGGCCAGGCCAATTGTGTGTGAGCTCTGTTCTCTGACTTTTTTGTGTGTGTGTGGGCGCAAAAGTTTCTAACAATAATAAGCAAATGCCCAAAAGTGAGCAGTGGGATCCTGTTGTTTTTGTCTCCACTGCTACAATTGCCAGCACTAAAAGTCCCCTCTGAAAATATATATATATATATCCAAACCGTTGTTGTTGGCTCAAATACGATTAAATATGGCAAAAGTTGTGCGTACACACACGTCGGCCATTTTATTTAGATTGCAAGAGGGCAAAAACAGAGGCAGTAACGGGAACAGGAACAGGAGCAACGACAACGACAACATTGAGGTCGTCGTCGTGGGGCTCTCAAAAATATTTTTGGGTACTGCAAAAAAATAAATCTGCATTAAAACCTGTATTTAGAAAAATGTATTTACTGGGAAATTAGAAAAAATATTATAATATAATAGATTTAACCTGTTTCACATTTATTTTCTGTTGTCAGAACCTAGCATATTTCCAGTTTTCATAGTGAATTTTCAACTTGATTATATTTTATGTTTAACATAAATCTACTCGGACCTTAAGCCAATATAGATTTTGTGTTAAGTCTTTAAAACCATTCTGTATTTTTCAATATTTTTTCACAGTGCAGATGTGTGTTGCTTTTGCTGCTAACAAGGCCAACACATGTTTTTGTGTGTGGCCCGGGCCACACAAAGCACAGCAATTCTGTTAACAATTTTATTATTAAAATGATGTCAGTGCCTCAGTTCGTTTTCTCGCCCTCTTCCTGTGGCCCGGCAATTGACCGCAAATGCATTAGTGGCGGACGCCTCCACTTTCACCTACTTCCCAAGGCGAATTACACAAAAATTTGCAACACTCCATGCCATGCATGGATAAATAGGCGAATGTGCGGACGCCAATCTCTGTGGTAATCCCCAGATGACCTACAAGTTGTCCGACAACGTTGCAGAAATGTTTGTAACACTTTTTTTTTTTGGCTGGGTATTGCCTAATTGATTTAAATAATGTATAGTAATTTAATTTATCTTTGCTGCCGGTGATTGCTAATGTTTTTTATTTTTAGTGCGTATCTTTTCGTTGGCGATTATTTGAAGGTTTGTATTAAGATTATGTAGTTGTTAAATCCGGAATATATATATAAAATATATAAAATGATGAGCAATGCTACATCTTTTACATTCCTGGAAAATATGTATTACTGGATATTTGTCCGTCTTCACTTAGCTGAGCTTTCTTTATATCCATTTTGATGTTACTTCCACCTACCCCGTCTGGATTTGTTCAGCTTTAGGCTAGAGAAAACGCAAGTAACTCCCCCTGTTTTTCCCCCTCGCCAAACAACCTGATTATATGGCCAACCTTTCACAGCTCCTGAGCAGTTATTACGTTTTACTTATTGCATTTTTCTGCTCTTTGCATTTTTGCCTGAGCTTGCAAAACGATACAGGAAAGGGAATGGAAATGGAAATGGTAACGAGGATTCAACAAGGAGCCCCAGCATGTAGCTCACATGACATCTGGCCAAGAGGGTGATCACTGTAGACGCGAAGGCGGGGGGTCGGTGAGTAAAAGGAAGGGAAAAGAGAACGAACTCCTGCCGAGAGCTAAGCTCACTGCACTTGGCCATTGTTTGTTTGTTTTTACAACTCTGATTGAGGTGAAATTGCATATTTCTGTGCGCTTCTTTCATTTCACTTCATTTCCCCGTCTATCCTCAGCTCCTTCTCTCTTTCACTCTCTATTTCTGTAATATTTTCAAACGTTTTATTGAATGTCGTTTACTGGCTTTTCCTTTTGCCACGTACCCATCTTCAGCTCCATCTCCATCTTCACATTTTCTCCTGGCCTGCACCTATTTCACCTGTGTTTTCCCGCCTGCCTTGGCTTTGTGTTTATTGTGCGAATAAATGTCAACAATGGAGAAATGTACATGGATTGCCAAGCGATTTAGAAGGTGGAGTAATCGGAAATATTTTTTGTCAAGCTTAAGATGGCTATTTTATAGACAACACTTTAAAGCAGTCCCACTATAAAAACCATATTTGGAATATATGAAAATATGGGAAAAAATATTTGATTTACAGACTAGTCTTGAAACTCTTAAATCATTTTAAAGTAGGCCTAGATGGATACTTTGAAACACCGTTGATCGAGTAGATCCAGTCACCCGCATATATATACAGATATTTGTCTGATACAATTATTACAAAAGCATTCAATATTCACATAAAAAAGAATAAAAAATAACAGAAAAATATTTAAGGAAATAAAAAGGACCATGCACAGCTTGACTCAGGGTTTTCACTTGAAGGAAACCCAGGTTGATAACACAGATAATTCTGGTAAGATGGCGCATTCAAGTACAGTGAAGCTAAATGTCAACGCCCAGGAATTTGTGCCGAGCTTTAAAAGGAATCATTTGAAGAGAGATGAACCTTTAGTTGGTTTTACTGATTTAATGAAAACATATGAAGATGAGGAAAAGGCAACAGCAAACTTGATGTTGCCATGGAAGGGATTTCCCAAGAAACCTGAAAAGAGTAAATCAGTTTTCCATCTTTTAGAAATTTCCTTTTGTGTAATCTTTAAATTAATCTTTTTTTCAGATGCTCGCAGTACTCAGGTAGCTTTAATAAACGATGTGGACTACATGATTCTCCCTAGTATTAAGAGATCAAAAAAGCAAACAGACGACATACTACTTGTCGACTTGATAAATAACCCGGAAACCAAAGAAACCAATGATCATCCAAGTACTTTTTCCCATGCTGAAAAACGTAACTATCCCGAGCAAAAGCGCCGTGAAAATGAAAGAAAAGTTGCTTTGGAAGCCTTGAAATTGTCCGAACAACGTCGCATGAGGGTTCCACTTATTTCTCCGACTGCAGACAATGCAAATTCTGATAACGTTCAGCCAATTATCCATCTCTCCCGATCTCCTGTAAGGTTTGCTATGGAGGAAAAATGGAAGGTGGATCGCTTGAGGGACGCCAAGAAGGAGCGAATCGAGAGGATCCTCCGTGAAATGACTAATGAGAAGCAGGAGCAACTGAAGCAACAGCAACTGCAACAGCAGAACAAGATTCGTAATGATACAGTTGAGCCCAAAAGCTCAATTTCCGATCAACAGAAATCGGAAAAGAACGATCAAGGGACCACCAAAAAGAGATATATACCAACGACCAAGGAGTGGGACGAGCAGTGTCGGGCCAAATATTTGGCTAAACTGAATGCGGATAAGCAAAACAAAGACGAACCTCAAGATAGCGCCACGTCTAAGCCACTCCCACCCAAGTCCAATGTGGTCAATATTTCGCCATCGGGTGTTATTCGTCTGGGTGATCTAAGGGCTACGACCAAACCTCTCTATTGCCCACCTAATGATCTACTGGACACAGAGAAACGTAAGGGAAACATCACTCATTTCCGACCTCTACCCAACTGGACAATCCGTCAAACCCCCCAAGAGCCGCTGAAGGTCTTAACCAATAAGATGGGAAAAATCGTGCAACGCTATAGCATCGAGCAACTTTTGGCATTTGAACCGCAACCTGGAGACCTTGAGAAACCCTATTTAGACGAGGCCCTAAATAATTTAGGATTTCTGTGCGATTGATTTGAATTAACTTCATAAATATGTCCGCAACTTGATCTTTGTTTTGTTTGTAATTTATTCTTTTTTCCAACTTTCCCATTATTAGAAATTTTCACTGATGAGTTGCTCTTTCAATTATCCAACAATAAAATCATAATTTAAAAGTGGAAAAGCATAAACTTAGACATGAGAAGATTTTCCATAACAAATTATTTGCCTTGAAAAGACCTTTTAAAAGACCTTTTTACATATTTTATTCGATTTTTTATCATTCCTCTGAAAGAGTACCTTGCCAGTATTTTAACATTGCCCGCATTTCACATATTTTTATTACTGATTAATAATACTACATAAATGCATGGAAATATTTTTGCTTTTTGTGCTTTGACCCTCGTAATTGAGCACCGTAATTTTGCAATGTTATTGGTGCTGCTGTCAACTGCAGGGGCCAGGTGCAATAATTTTAATGCCATTATTGTGCTTATTATTATTATGCCTACTGTGCGCAGTCCGCTGCCTCTGCATATATTAAATTTCACTGGAAAATTTGTTTTAATTTCATTAAACGGGACAGAGAGCAATTTACACATCAGTAAAGAGTCCGTCGCTGCACTGAAATAAATTTTACAGGACGAATCCCCTGCGGGCCCATGTAACTGAGGCCGAAGCGCAAAAATATTGACATGTGGCTATGGCAACGATTGCCGTTGGTAAAGAGGTGGTGGGACGAGACGTTGTCAGGTCATGGGAGTCCCAAAAAAGGGGACGACTGACCAGCGCTAGTATCATATAACGAACAGACATTGCCCTTGTCATTTTTGTTGTTGTTCTGGCTCGGCCAGTACTGGGCAAATAAAGCAGAAAATTGTGTTTTTTCTCTTTTTATTTTTTGCGTGTTCGGAATAAAAAACAATGAGTGAAACAAAAAGAAGTAAAACAACAAACAATCAAATGCATTTCACTGCCCTGTGTGCGTGTGTGCATGTGTTAAATGACCTTTGGCTTTTATTGTCGCCCGCTTTCTCGCTGCAGTTTGCTTTCTCCAACTCGTACCAACTCTTTGACCTTTTTGGGTCCCACCTTCTCCTCATAGAGTTTATCAGCTACCCTTGATTTCGATCCTCTGTTTAAATTACAGTGGTTGTCAATGATTTTCCTTTTAATAAATAGTACATTTTTAGAGACCACGAAGTATAGGTAGGTAGAAAAGTTTAGGAAATAAAATGACTTTGTAATTTTACGATAATACAGGAAACCTTTTGCCAATGCTCAGTCAGAACGAAACAGAACGCTGAGTTATATTTAAGAAATAAAGTATTTCATCAATAATGTTAAGCATTGTTAAGCTGAAAATACTTATAAAATAATTTCGCCAGAGAGCCCTGTCCGGAAATTTCTTCATTGCGCCAAAGCGTTTGACTCGGCTCATACTCCGATTATTTTATGGTTTTTTATTGTGTGTGTTTTTTGCAGCTTCAAGCTGTTGCGTTAATTGCATATTTAAATTTATGCTGTTAATTGTTGGCAGCCCACGAGGATCCGGATGCATTGCCTTCATTGCCAGTCGCTCCGTTGAGTTATGTGAGCCCAGCCAATGTGAATCCGTGAATTCCCTACGCTGACTGAAAGCCATCAACAGCTCGGTTTGATGTGAGTGTGTGTGTGTTTTTCCGCAGGAGTGTGTGCCTGGGAGTGGGCGTGTCTGCCGCCTCAATCGTTACATTTTATACATTTCATTCGACGGCCAAACGAGAAGAGTGGGAAAAGGCCACTCAGAGCGTATGAAAAGTTTGGCTTTCGCTTTAAACAAAATTCAATTGCTTAAAAGGCAGGAAATCCAAAAAGTTTAACAATCCTTTTAGTATTTATTTTATGAAATTAAGAAAATAATTTAAAAAAATAAAATATTTAAATTTTAATTTTTTAAATCAGATAAATTGATATAAACACTATCCACCTTCTGTAACAACGAAAAGTAGATGTTAATTGCTCTGAGCTATTTCCTAGCAACACAAGATAAACTTACAGAGTTATTAGACACCAATCGACATGGCATAAGCCCCTTTTTGCTGGACCACAAAAGGGAAAATCCGTGGAGCAAGGTTTTCAGAGACCACGTCATAAGCTGATTAAAGGCCGCAAATTTGTGCCAGCCAAAAGGTAGGATTTTCGAGGAGCAGGGCCATAGGAGCAGCTCAATTGGCAAACACTTTGTCGCACTAATTAAGCCACTTATAGGTGGTCGTGGGCCTTGGCTTCTTCTTCTTAGTGGAGCGTGTCACCCGGTCGTATGCGTAATAAATATTGAATGCAGCACCAGCGATAAGCTCTTACCGGCAAAGGGCAAAGTTTTGCATCAAGAATTCCCTTTTTGGGCGAGCGTGTGGGTCACTACGTGATCCTCGAAAGAAGACGTGACGAGCTGCAGAACCCTCACTGAATTGCCTTAATTTTCGTGTTTCCGCTGCCGTGTGCAAAACTGGAAAGTGCAAAAGGAGGCTGCGTTCTTTTCATCCTCGTAAAATGCAATGGTTACCAAAAGGATTGGACCTTTACTTTGCCCGCCATGTTAAGTTTATGGTAGTTAAAATTAGTTACAACCTTTATTTACGTACCACGAAAAAATGTGCTGTAATAAAAGTAGAAACTTTTATTTGGACAATAATATAAGGAACTTTTAGTTAAGGAAATGGTATATATCACTTTAGTTTCAATGAACTAGCTTCTCAACTGTAATCTTTAATGTTTTAGTGTTCTAATTAGCTCACACCATTTCTTCAATTTATCAGCCAACTTTGCCTTGTCAGCATGAACTCTTATTCCTCAGAATAGGTCTGGCAGAAGGGTTACAGGAAAAAAAGGTGTGCCTGTGTGCGTGTGTGTGTGTGCGGCAAAGGTGCAACATAATATTGCCGTGTTGTCACCGATTGTTGTAGTTGCCTCATGTTTCCTGTTTAGACGTGTTGTTATTGCAGCTGGCTGTTGTTATTGCTGGAAAGGCCATCCCATCATCAACATCATTGTCGGCACCATCAGCGTTGATGGCTTGTTAAATTGCCTGTTTCACCTTGTTCCTGTTGTTGTTATTGTTGCACGTGTAACCTGGATGTGTGATTGCGAGTATATGTGTGTGAGTGTGTGTGTGTGTGTTGTGAACGTGGACTGTCAGTGTGCAAGTATGCGTGACAGGTTTTTGGCTCGCATACATTATGCACATTAGCGCACATTATGAACATGTTCGCTGTGACCCTTTCACAAGAACATGAAAAATCAGGGGCCCCGAAAACTGAAACTGGACTGAGCGTCAGTTCGTGACCTGATTGGCAACTAGCCAAAGAAAGAAAATGCTCAGAAAATGATTTTCACTCTTAAATTAGTTGCCGCATCACACCGACCAGCTGCCAGTTGAGAAATTAAGTCAACCATCAGCCAAGCCAGTAGGGTGCCTACCTGACATGTTTTTGACCCACCCCAACTCCCCCATACCCTCCAATCAGGGCTGGGCTAAGTGTTTACGTGTGCACTTTAGGCATCATCAAAGCCCGGCCAGCGGATGTTGGCTCAGCGCTGAACGTTGGGAAAAGTGCGTTGGAGTGTTGGAATCACAGGGAGTTCGAAAAGTGTTGCCTGCTTTTAAGCGCAAAACTCCAATGTGCAGAAAAATAGGTTCTCCATCTTTGGAGTGCATTTAAGAGCTCAACCAAGCAAACTATCACTATTATGTATATGTTTTATATATGTCATTAAACTAACAGTGGGAACATAAAATTTAAAAAAATTCGCCCAGCTTTATATAGATAATCCACACTGAGTTGCAATTATTCCCTTATTAAGAGTCATCTGCCTGTGCGAACTGTTGCCAGTTTAAATGGTACTTAAATGCACTTAAATGTGTACCTCCCATTACAGCCCCTTTCGCTTTTCCGCGGACCTCTGAACCTTTTGTGGGCATAATTATCGCTGGAAATGGCTCAGCAACAATCGATGGTGAAAAATGCAGATACAAAAAGTCGCACATGACAATGAATGTTAATTGCAATGGGAATGCTGTCTCTTTCTCCACCTCATTACTGCTCCCTCACTCTTTCTCTGTCTGTCTCCAAATGACTCTGAAATTTACGCGCTCAAATTATGTTTAATAAATGTATTACAATAACAGAAACATTTTGCATTAAGTAAAGCCGCAATTGTTAGTGACTGTGTGAGTGTTTTTTTTAATGCGGTAAAAACAATAAAAAGATCAGCGAGTGTCAGGCCATGAGGCTTAAACTCAACTGGGAGAAGTCATCAGAAGCTAATGGAAATGAAATATATTTTTAATAAAGGATTTATATATAAATTGCACCTTTATACTGTTGTGAAAAAGGCAACATAAAGATTAAAGGATGCAAAAGTGCAAGGCTACATTTTAAATTAAAGCTGATAGATTCTTCAAAAAAGTAAGTTTTAATGTTTACCAAACGGACTTAAATAATTTTAAGGCCATTTCTGTAATTAAATATTAATTGTACGTGAATTTGATCGTTTCTCTTCATTTGTATTTATTCAAACATTTAACTCACAAAACTATGTAAATATCTTTAATGAAATTCATCGTTGAACCGTTTAACGCCCCTTAATCTAAATTAATTTTTATCCCACCATCAATGTGTCCTATTTACCAATTGTAATCAGATTTCATTAATCCTACATTGAGAGCTTTCATGCCATTGGTTAGTCAAGTATTTTTCCGCATTAACGGTATTAAAATCTATCTGAAACTACGACATTACAAAAAATGTTAATTATCCATTCACAGTGAGTATCAAATCAGTGAAAGGAGCCGGAAAAATAAGAATTAACTATGAAAAAATTGGTTGCTGTGGTGTGGTTGTGAGGTTGATTTGGTTTGTCCCGTTAGGGCCCTAATCTATATATTTGATGAGCATATATGTGACATCCGGCCAGATCTGAATTGACACTCATTAAGTTGACTTTAAGCTGCATTGCGCTTTGGCCGCATTAATCCTCTTGTTCAGCTTTCATTACATTTGCGCTTATCTGCATAATTGAAATG